CAACGAGACACACAAAAAGGCAGATTTTTTATATTAAATAATGGGTAGATGTATTCCATATATGGCCTCTTTTATCATTTAAAGCAGCTGCAGATGCGTTATCAAATTAACACATTAAGCACTTCTTGTGAAAAATTACCTAGCCTCTAACATTTCTGTGAAGCTATAAATGCGTACGCAGCGTTGGCTTGAGAGCTCGTCTGCTAAAAAGCATCTAATTGCGAGGCCAAAACACATTGACAAGGTGTTTATTTTTGCATCTTCCCTTTATGTGGCAACAAACTGGAGAGACACGAGAAAACAACTGCTACCTGAATTCTAGATGTGCTGGATTTTGCTGCTTCTAGATGTAAAGAATCCATTATGTCATTCAATAAGAACTTATGGGATATGATCAAAGTAGACAGGAATTCTGACAGTTAAAATGGTTCCTTATGATTACTTTTGTTCGTCTTAAGCGTTCAGATCCACACTGCGGACACCCTGTTAAGGATGCATAAGAGGTCACAAAGCATAGTAGAGACGAACTCCAAAGGTCCAGGACGTGAGGCATCAACAAAACTAACTCAAAGTGGCGAAGAGGATGACCTTGTAACTGCCAGCGACCTCACAAGATTGACTCGAGGAAGTTCAGGATCCTCGAAGGAATTGGAAAAAGCCATTGCCACTTGTGAGGAGGCAATGCGAGGAGTTGGGATGATTCATTCTCCCAACATTACTGATCGCCTGAAGCAGGCTGCGGTGATGTCTCTATTGGCTCGTTGTCATTTAGCTAATCGTGACAGGGCTCAATGTGAACAGGTCTGCTTGAAGTTGGCTGTCTGTCAGGTGGGTCTCCTCTTTCAATAAATCCTTAAGCAGTCAAATTCGTGGAATAAACCAGCCTCCCTTTTTTTTCTCACCTATTTCAGGAGGAGATTCAGGCAATTAATGAAGATATAACATTTGCTGATTTCAACGTACCTGTTGAGCTTTTCTACCCAATGGTGGCCGACAAGAATGCGTCAGAAATGTCGCGTTCTAACACATTTCCCTTGAGAAGATGTGCCGCGGTATTTAATTTTGTTCCAACAGCTATCATCATGGCAGACCTACTAACGCTTGAATGCGATTTTACGGGTGTTATACCACACCTGCTGAAACATTTGAATGAAGTGCCAAGTGAGCTCTTTTACTCGTTACGATACTCTGCAAAAGTCTCATCCTGTTTTCGACATAGCCTGCTGAAATGACTTGATGAAGCCACTATTAAAAATTGTTTGTCTTATAAAGCATCAATGTCTGTCAGTATATCGGCACGTCATTCTTTGTTTTCCTATTCCATATTTGTTTTTTCTTTTGAACAAACCTGCATATCGCCAAGTGCCAGATTAATGGTCTTGATAGATGCAGTTCCGGTTTGTCTATCTTACGAGACTTTCCAGTTAGCTTCCTCCTTAACATTTAAAAAAGGCGCGGTAATAGAAGGGACCGTCAAAACTCATTTATTCGAAAATTTCATTTTGTCGATGAATGACGACGAGGAAGGTCCTACATTCTTAGTAGTGAAGAGTTGCGTGTTGCTAGTCAAATTGTTAAACGCGAGTAGTGAAACAATCATTTCCCACCTCCCTCAAAATGGAGAGAAAGTCTAAGGGAATGGGTTCTACTCACATACCATGCATTGACTTAATTCTTCCAGTGGTTGTTAGACGACGAACGTAGTATTGGCTACATACTAATGTTTCAGTCATCATCCACCACGCATTTCTAAGATACCGCTTAATTCCCTTGAGGCAAGAATTTTAATGCGTGTGATGGGCTACAAGCACAATTGTTACCTGGTGCTTGACATACCTCGAAGGCGTATAGGAAAGGCTTCTTCTTGAGAAACGGTCTTGACCTGGACCCACAAATCAGTGGGAAGAAACTCATATTTTTATTCGCACAAAGCATGACCCCAAATTGCCGCAAAACGTAACCGTGAGAAGATTGTTAACTTGACATAGAATGGGTTGACATAGAATGGGAGAGGAGGGAGCTACTGCCTCCTCCTCCTC